TTCATGGTATAGATGGGTTCTATCCTCCATTTTCAGCCTATTTCCTAATGATTTTAGAGTTACCTCTTCATGGGAGTGGTGTTAGAGTAGCAATAAAGGCCCCATTAAAGGAAACCATTTCTGATCAAGAAAATAGAGTCTCTCTTGATGGAAACCTAACAGTCCAGTTGGCGAGGTCAATTATCTGGCCAAGGGACCATCCTTCAGGAAGGCAAGATCACTCCTAGGAAGGCAGGATCACCATAAGCCAAGCTAGAGAAGTAGGAGGAATAATTATCCCTTTAATGAGATACTGTACTTTTCCTTCCCAGAATTCCCTACTGCCGTCTCTTATAGAGACACATAGCCACACTGCTTCCTAAACCAGCCTGCTTTTCTGAATTACTCAGCAAAGCATAACTTTCATTCGTTTTCTTTCTATCTCTGTTCTAAGTATGCTTTCCCTAACACACTGGGCTGCTTTAGTCTTTCAGTAACGCCCCTGTTCTGCCATGGGACTCATGGCAGCCATATGGCTGATCTCCATGCCCATTTAACTAAAGTAGCATGGCTCCCTCTCTGCCCCCTCCCTGCCCATTCTCCTCCTCTGGGAAGTTGTTGAGGTTTGCAGCTTGTCTGACCTGGGGTTTTCTTTTAAGTTATAATAAAATTGTCCCTTAGCTTTAAAAGAAAGAAAGAAAGAAAAAGGAAAAATGAGTTTAAAATTGAAAACTCAAAATGGAAGTATCAAGGTCCAATAGTTTGTATTGGTAAACTCCTCAGTTCAAAGAATTCTACACTATTTCTACACAATTGATCTAATCCACCATATTAACATAATAAAGAAGAAAAAAACATACGATTGTGTCAATTAATGCAGAAAAGCATGTGATAAACTCTAACATTCATGATAAACTTAAAAAAAAATCTGAAAAATAGAAAGAAGGGAAATTCAACTTGAAATCTACAGCTGGCCATATAAGCCAGCCCACTACCTGATAATCAAATCTTATTCATAGCTGGGAGCTGGGGCACAGGCCTGTAATCTCTACCACCAAGAGGCAGAGACAGGAGGATCTTGAGTTCAAGGCCTGCTTGCGCTACATTCTAAGACTCTAACTCAAAAGATTCACAAAAGGAGAATTAATTGTACTTCATCAAAGTTAAGGCTTTTGCCTTGTGGAAGACCCTACTGAAAGGATTTTTAAAAAGTTAAATGCTAGGAGAAATATTTGCAAAACATATGTCTAACCAAGCACTTGAATCTATAATGTATAAAGAATTCTGAAAACTCAGCAGTTAAAAACTCAAACAACCCAACCAGAAAATGAGCTAAAGACATAAATAGACATTTACCGAAGAGGAGACATGGTTGTCAAATCAGTCCATGAGAAGATGTTCAACATCAGTAACCACCAGGGAAATGCAAATTAAAACCACAGCGAGACATTAGCACACACCTATCTGAATGTCTAAAATTTTACTAAAATGTGACAACACAAAATGTTGATGAAAGTGTCTAGAAATTGGATCCCTCATACATTGCTGGTGGGAATGTAAATGGTAGGGTATTCTGGAAAGCAATTTGGCAGGTTCTTTGAAAACTAAACGTGCAAGTACCATACGATCCAACAACTGCACTCTTGGGCATCTGTCCCAGAGAAATTCAAGCTGAAGTCCACTAAAAATCTGCTAGGCAAATGCCCATCCCAGTGTTATTGGTAAAAGTCAAACCCAGCAAACACTACAGATGTCCTCCAAAATGTGAATGGATAAACTTTCTGTGATCGGTCAAGACCACAGAAAACTATGCAGCAAAAGCACCAGGCCGAGCTCTGGGAGTCCAGTTGAAGAGAGGGAAGTGGGATTATATGAGCAAGGGGGGGGGTCAAGATCATGATGGGGAAACCTACAGAGACAACTGAACCAAGCTCATGGGAACTCACAAACTTTAAACCAACAGCTGTGGAACCTGCATGGGACTGGACTAGACCATATGCATACAGGAGACAGTTGTGTAGCTTGGTCTGTTTGAGGGCTCCCTGTCAGTGGAATCAGAATCTATCTCTGGTGTATGAGCTGGCTTTCTGGAGCCCATTACCTATGGTGGGATACCTTGCTCAGCCTTGATGCGGGGGTGGGGGTGGGGGGCTTGGTCCTGCCTCAACTGAATGTACCAGGCTTTGCTGTGCCCGCACAGAAGGCCTTACCCTTTTGGAGGAGGGGATGGGGGATAGGTTGGGGGACTGAAGGAAGGATGAGAGGGGGATCTGTGATTGGTATGTAAAATGAATAAAAAAAGTAAAAAATGACCCAGCAAAACAAAGGAGGACTATGGTATAAATAAACAGTGAATGAATCCGAATATTGACGTGTGTGATGACTCCGATGAGAATGTTCTAGAGTCATGCTTCTCAACCTTCCTAATGCTCTGACCCTTTAATATTGTTCCTCATGTTGGGGCAATCCCTGACCATAAAATTATTTCATTGCTACTTCATAACTGAAATTTTGCTACTGTTACGAATCTCAATGTAAGTATCTGATATGCAGGAAGTCTGATATACAGCCCCCAAAGGGGTCGTGACCCACAGGTTGAGAACAACTACTCTAGATAATGGTGGCAATGGAAAGAAATCCCTAAAGGTCACATGATGTATGATTGCATTTTCTACCTAATCTTTGTTGAAATGACCTAATTCAAGAAATGGAACAGAGTTGTTATATCATTTGCAGAAAAATAGATCCAAGGGGAGATATTCATATTAAGCAAATTAAGCCAGCCTTAGACAGACAAATATATGTTTCCTCTCGTTTGTGATTCCTAGGTTTTATATAGATACATAAAATCATTTATGTATGACATGGAAGTAGAAGTGAAACTTTCCCAAAGGGGACTAATATGAAGGTGGGGAAGACAGGCTAGGGAGAGAGTATGGGCAATGTATTCAATGTACAACATATACTTGCATGTACCATAGTATAATGTACAATAAATATAGTCAATGAAATAAAACAAAGAAATGGGGGCCTAGTGAAGTGGCTGAGTGGCTAAAGGAGCTTGCCACTAAGCCTGATGACCTGAGATCCAGGAAGGAGAGAAGTAGCTCCTGCAAATTGTCCTCTGACTTTCACACCATGGCTGGATTAGGCATATGTGCACAAATAGATAGGGGTTAAACAGGCATTGGGTAGGCATGGCCTGGTAGTGTGGAAATGCTATTTCATGGCAGTCAGTCTCAGCATCCTGCTTGTGTGTTGTCCTGGATTTCTAACTATAGATGTAACCAACCGTCTTATTAAATAAGAAACACAGAAATAATGCAAAAGAGAAAGCCAAGAGGTCAGAGCTCAGAGCTAAAATCTCACCCTTCCGCCTGCGTTGTCCCAGCTTCCCGAATGAGGGTTCTATTTCCTGTCTGTTCGTCTATTTAAAGTGTTTTGTTCTGCCTTCTCATTGGTTGTAAACCCAAACACGTGACTGCCTCGTCACTGTCTGAATGTACAGCCCCCTAGGTCTTAAAGGCATATGTCTCCAATGCTGGCTGTATCCCTGAACACACAGATATCTATGGGATTAAAGGCGTGTGCCACCACCACCACCACACTCTTGCTATGGCTCTAATAGCTCTGACCCCCGGGCAACTTTATTTATTAACATACAATCAAAATCACATTTCAGTACAATTAGATTACCACCACATCTAACCATAGCAAAAAGTTGGGCAAAGAACACCTGTATTATTTTTGAAATGGCAGGTAACTCTACAAAGATTTAAAAATAAAAATTTAATTATGAGAACAGTGAGTTAGATGCACATCCTGGCACAAGAGGTTCCCAAGACATACGTTAAGTGAAAAAAGCGAGGTACAGATCACTGTTTAGTACACCACTGATTGATTGTTTGTTTTCAAGTTTCCATGTAAAACCAAGGTCTACACAGGGATGAAGACCCGAAAGAAGGTGAACACTCCACACTGGGAACAGTGGCTACCTCTGGGGAGCAGGGTGACTACAGAGAGGATTTTAAAAGCAGCCAAATTGATTTTGTTTGCAATAAGAATGTATTCATGGGCTAGGGGTGCAGCTCAGTGGCAGAGTGACTGCCTAGCATGACAAGATCCTGGGTTCCATCACCAGTGCTGGAACAACACAAATATTACTGAGAATATATTCATATTATTTGTGTTATAAAAACATCCTGGGCACAACTGCAGTGTTGTAGGAATTCACATCTGCCTTGCTCATCTGGATTTGACATGTTTCAGCAGCATGGTGGCCAGGGACATAGCTCCCAGCCCCCTGCCCTTGAGCCCGAAGGAAGTGGCTCTGATCCTTCTCATTTTGAAACAGGCCCACTTGCAGCTGAGGCTAATAACCACTTAAATAATACGCCGAAGACAACAGAGCAACATCCCCGAGAAGGCTATGGTCAACCAAGTGTCATCCAGCCACAATCCTGGGAACAGCCAAGGCTTCCCCATCTTCAGACCTGAAGCCACGGCAGCGGTTGAGCAGCTGAGTAAAGGCTGGATGCCTACAACCCACCACATAAGGCTAAGGACAGACTCACCTTGGGTGGCCCCAGCCAGTGCATCCTGTCAATTATTTCCTCATCCACCATTTGTTGAGTACCTGCTATGTGCCAGATGGCCACAATAGCGGTGCTCAACACAAAGTCCTTGCCCTGCTGGGGCTCCCGTTCTACTGGGAGAGCAGGCAATGGCCAGGCTGAATGAGAAACTTAGCCGGTGGGTGGCATTAAGTGCTATTGTGAACAGCAGCATGGGGAAAGGGTGTGAGGTGATGGGGAATGAGAAGCGCCATTTGAGGAACGTGGCCAGAGAAGGTCTCACTGAGAAAGTGGCACCTCCCTGGAGGTTGGGAATGGAGAAGCCAGCTCCCCAAACAGGCAGTCTGCCTGATCATTTTCTACTTGTTACTCCGTATATCCACCCACTCCCCCCCCATCACCCCCCCCACACACACACACACATCCAGTTTGGTCCTTGTAGCTGACCTGTGCTGGCTTCCTCCACAAGCTCCCTGGCCCTCTGGCTGTGAATCCCGTCCGCCCAGTAGCAGGCACCTGTAAGGACAAGAGAAGAAAAAGGGAATTGGGGTGAGGACATTGCTTTCCGCGCTCTTTCTGAGCAGGGCCTCTGTGACGGCTGTACCCAAATCCTTCTAGGCAAACCTCTGCACACAGAGGGTGGAAGAAGCCCTTACATTCTTTGTTGTTTAGATTTGGTTTTTTTGTTTGTTTGTTTACGTTTCAGGCAGGATCTTGCTGTGTAGCCCAGGCTGGCCTCAAACTCAAAATCTTTCTGCTTTGCTCTGCTAACCGCTGCTAATCTTAGCCAGCTCAGATTCTCAATAAATTTTATTTTTATTTGCACATATTCATTGTACAGAACGGTAGATTTTATTACAAAAATTTCACACAGGTATATCATTTGCTTTGCTCATATTTGCCCATCTGCTCTTATCCTTCCTTTGAAAGTGTTTCTGAGGTGTCCTGCTCCACTAAGATGGCCAGAGCACAAGCCCCAACCCAAGACCAGCGTCTTGTTCCTCTCCACGTCATTGTGTGAGTCAACAAGAGTTCTCTTGTCAGCAAGATTTCAGAAGGATTCTGTGTAACAGGAGCATCCTAACACACTGTCACCCATGCAGGAGCATCCTAACACACTGTCACCATGCAGGAGCATCCTAACACACTGTCACCCATGCAGGAGCATCCTAACACACTGTCACCCATGCAGGAGCATCCTAACACACTGTCACCCATGCAGGAGCATCCTAACACACTGTCACCCCTGAAGGAGCATCCTAACACATTGTCACCTGTGCAGGAACATCTTAGCATACTGTCACCCGTTCAGGACACACAGCTCCGGGAAGCCCGAAGGGTTCTAGTCTATTCCTGACTCCAGAGTGAGTCCAGAAAACAGCCATCATGGGCTTTCTAGTTATACTGTCCCACCTCAAAGCCAAACCCGTACTGGGGAGTCGGGGTGCGACATGTCATTTTTCCTCTTGCACTGGGCCCCTGGCTGGCACCAGCCACTCTACCTGCATAAGCTAGCCTAACTACATCAACCTCAGAATTCCAAGAAAAGCTGTCCTAATTTGCCCTGTCCAGCTTCCTGTCATTCACAGCTGCCAACAGACAGAAGGCATATATCACCCACTGAGCGAAAGCAATGGACCGCAGTGGGGACAGTGTAGAGGCGACATCTGAAAGAAATTAAAAGACGGGACTGGGGTGGGGTGGGATGGGGTGGGATGGGAGCCTAGGCAAGCACCAGAAGTATCATATACTGGTGAGGTCGCTGAGAGGGAGGGGATGGAAAGCCTGGCCCCAGGCTGCAAGCGCCCACATTTGGGTGTGTTTCAGGACAAAAAATGCCCTGCGAGTTCCTGTGCACACTGCAGATTCTTGGGCTGAACTTGCTGCTTCAAATTCATGAACCCCTAAGCAAAGGCACCCAGCTGGAAAGTGGAAGACAGCACATGATTCTGAGGGCCCATTCCAAAGCTTGAAAAAAACTGCTGGTCTTTTGTTGACACTTACATAAATCAATCCAAAGAAATGAGCCCCATAGCCAAAGTCAGAAATGCTGGACATCAATTTGCTGCCAGCCTCTGGGTCTTGGTCCACTCATTAAGGGGAGGGATAACCTACATTAGAACCCTGGGTCCAACTCTCTCAAGCTGGGTGTCCTTGGGCGATATTCTGAACCTGGCCAGGACCTCAGTTTTCTGATCTAAAAAATGGGCTCATTCTCTACCGCACAGAATCATAGTAAAGGTCAAATGAGCTCTGTGTGTCACACGTGTCTGGCACAGGCTCCGGAATCCTGGTTGCCCAGAATTTGTCTCTTCTCTCCCTGTGTCCATCTTCCTGGGCAAGAGCCAGTCTTGTGGGGTGCGGCAGTTCTGGGGTGCCAGGGCCTATTGGCGTCCTTGAGAGCTCTCTGAGGAGCTTGGCAGCTCTTGTGCCCACGCTTGCTTCTGCTCTTTACAAAGGGGCATCCTGGTTGGCTGTCACTTGGTCCTAGCAGGACACACTTCTGTGAACTGCTTGCCACCGAAGGGCACTAATGCCCATTAAGAACTATATACTCGGCTGACCCATCACAGCAGCAGCTTCCACCTCCAGAACCTCAAGTCTTTCTTACCCCACTCTGTACCCTTTGACTGGAAACTGCTAAAGGGCCTTTGCCCCCCCACCGCCCCCCCCATGCGCCTTTCCTTCTTTATCCTTTCTGCTCATCCTTTTCCCATTCCTCTCTCCCTCTCTGTCCCTGACTTTGGCCCTCCATTGGTCCGTTCCTTCATTGACTCTTTCAACCCCCCCCCCCACCTAAATATAGTAGTCACAGGGAAACAGCTATGGAGAGTGGTTCAAGTGGACCCCCTGGCCCAGGCCAGGCCCAGTTGGGGGGTCATCTATCAGTGTCAGTCTGCACCCTCCCTTTTGTTCCCACTGGGGAGTGAGAAGAGGATGGCAAAGCCAAATGGAGCCCGGATGATGCCCGAAGGCAACTCGCTGGTTAGTAGGGAGACTGACCAGAGAGTCGGGGGGGGGGGGGTGGCTGCTTGTCTCAGGGACTAGGGAAGGCTTTCGTAAAGATGAAACACTTCAGTTGAGTCTTGAACCCTGGGCATTCACTCTGCAGTGAGAAAGGTTCAAAGGGCATTGGATAATGGAGGAGAGACGGGCAGTGCAGGCTTTGAGTTCGGTGGCCCTAGAGCCAGGTCTGGGACCCGGGGAAGCAGGGAGCCCGGAAAAAGTGACTTGGAGCCAGCTGGCCAGAATGACAGGTGACAGGGGGTGGGCCATGGAGGTCAGAAGGCAAGGCTCAGTAGTTAGCACTTGGTAAGTGCTGGCGGGACATGGTAAAAGCCAGGACTTTAGAGAATTTGGCTGAGTGGATGGCTGGCCCAGCCATGGGAAGCCTTGGATTCTAACCCCATCACAACTAAAATGATTATTCCAGAAGGCAGAGAACCAGAAGAGACCAGTCAGGACACTGTTGTCATGGTCCTGACACAAGCTGAAGCACTGGATGAGGATGCTCACCCCAAGAACGTAAGCGAGCGCCAGAGAAGAGACAGCAGGGCCGGCGTGTTGTCTGATGGGCCTGAATCTGCCACTGTTCTTCACCCTTCCCAGTGTGACAGACAGGGCAAGACAGTGCAGAGGTTCCTCCATCTTGGATTCTTTTTTTTTTTTTTTTTTTTTTTTTTCAAGACAGGGTTTCTCTGTGTAGCTTTGTGCCTTTTCCTGGAACTCACTTGGTAGCTCAGGTTGGCCTCACAGAGATCCGCCTGGCTCTGCCTCCCGAGTGCTGGCTGGGATTAAAGGCGTGCGCCACCACTGCCCGGCCCATCTTGGATTCTTGCTGAGGCCATTTTAGTTTTAACTTGACTTTGAGCTCCTTGATGGAGAATCCTGTGGAAATTTACCCAACTCTGTCCTAGGAACCTGAGGTCAAGATGCCCCAGATAATTTATCTTAGCTTCTGTTAAACTGCCTGTTTGTGCAGACACACATACACACACACACACACACACACACACACACACACACACCCAGCAACTGCCAAGTGAGATACCAGGATGCGGATTTGACCTTTAAAAACCCCTTACCCTAAACACTCAAGGCTACACTTGGGTCCCGAATACCTGAGTGTAGTCCCGACTGCCTGGAGTAAAGACTTTCAGTTTGCTCTGAACTGCGTCTGAGTGCTCATCTCTGATGGGCTCCCTGTACCTTAACCTGAGGCCATTTTAACGGAGTTCAGGCCTCTAGTGCAACTTCTACCATAGTGCATTCCCATCCAGCTCCACCTCCCACCCTCTCACCTGTCCTGGGTTCCAGTTGCCTTTGGGCATTCCCAAGTAATCATCTCGCCACCATGTCCCTAAGCGCCATGCTTATGTTTGCTTATTGGCCCAAATCAAGTTTGGTAGAACCCTGGTCTTGTGGGTTTCTAGGGTCTGACCCAGCAACTAAGGGTCATTTTATACTTTTGGGCCAAACACAACTTGCCCGTTCTATAGCATCAATGTGCCCGTCACCATAGAGGGCTGGCTTAGCATCTCATGGTGGAGAAGCATCTCCTTCTCTTCCTACTGTCAAGTTCCTTGCAGGGGACCTGCAGCCAGAGCTCGTCCCTTCTTCACCTGGAAGTATCTGGAGGCATGTCTGGTTGTCACAATGGCTCCAGAGTACAACTGCCATGTCAGGCCAGGAAGTCAGGGCATTGAGTGCCCCACATTTCGAAGGAGAGTCTCACACTGCAAAGAACTGTGTAACCCCAATTGCCAACAGTGCAGTTGCCTCCACACCACACCCGTGGTTTCACTTTCTGAAGGTTCCCCTACTCACTGGCAACTGTAGTCTAAAAACATAAAGGGGAAAATTCCAGAAATAACAATTGTTAGTTTTTAAATAACTTTTTTTTCATTTTCTAGTTATAAGGATCCTGTTTCATTATTAGTTATTGTTAACCTCCTCCTATGACTAGTTTATCAGTTGGGCCTCATCATAGGGTTTTATAAAGGGAAAAACAATTGAGATACCCACTAGATGTCTTGGAGGTGATACCCCATGGATTAGGGGGCAACTCGAACTGTGAGTTCAAACTCCCTGAGACTGTTCTTGTGTGTCCTCCTTGTCTAGCACAGAAGGGTGTGCACTAAGTGTTTAATAAATCATCTCATGGCTTCATTCGGACTGAGCAGCGTGCTGCTCAGTGCTAGAGACAGAGAGACAAACAGGCCCAGACAGTGCCTTTATATCCAGACCGGCCTTAGCTGCCTGCTAAGGTAATCCTAAAACCCCCAGCATGCTTCACTTCCATCACTGACTCCCGCCTAGCAAGCTAAATGCTGAACTACAAAAAATCATCCATTCATTTATCCAGCCTCTAGGAGCCCCTGAAAAGTTCAAAGTAGTGCTCAGCCATGATCTTGTGTATTTCAGCAGAGCAGAAGAGGCCTGGGTGGGGGCTGGTCGTTGAGGTGGTGCCTGAGACGTTCCTGCCCGGCTCAGACAGTCTCTGGGGACTGGGGGGC